AAAATTCAAATTTATTATTATTTTCGCCCCAAACACACTCACTCATACATTTCAAATGCAAATGTTTGAATTATGAAAAAATTATGGCTTGCGTGATACTCGCTGATCGCTATTACTTTTTTAATATATTTAAATTTAAACAAAAACATGTACTCTGGTATTCGAAATTCAAAACTAATTAATTTAAATCTAAATCATCGAGTGGATGATTATAATTTGTCCCTAAAATTTCTATAAATTGTAAAAACCTTTTTTGTAGATATGCCAAGTCATATTTGACATCAGAAGAAATCATCTTTCTAATGACATTTTCCAAGAGTTAACTCACTCACTCAAACATTTTAAATGTAAATGTTCCAGAGTTTGTGAAATTCAATGTAAGGCCAATCAAGAGCCACTCTCGCTATAGAGATATAATTCTTTCACATGTAAATGTTTCTATTATGGAACAATTTATCGATGTAAGCAATGTGATATGATCATTGGTATTGTTTATGGTCAGACCTGCTATAAAGTAAAATAATTGTTTTCAATCTATAGAGTTATTCATTGGGAAACTAATTGATAGTTTTCGAATGTTACGAAATGGCAAAAGGTTTTGTGTGATACTCGCTGACCTCAATTTTAATCTGTAATCTACTCTCAATTTTAATAAATAAATATATGTATTCAAGTACCGAATAATCATATTCGTTAACGCCAATTGGCCGAATTCTTTACAATGATTTCGATCATAATACAACAACAGCTTAAGCTATGTAAAATATGAACATTGCAATCTTTTTATTTATTAACATAAATGTTAATTTTAAGATATCTTGAACAAGAATTGTAAAAGCTGAATAAAAAATAGGAAAAGAATAAAACAAAAGTAAAAGTCTTGTGTGTTTTCTGTAGAAAAATTAATCAACAAAACTGTTGAATTCAATATACCAATAGAAAGGCTTGTATTTTATCCATAAAGTTTCAGATTTAAATAGATTTCCCTGCAAATGTATGAAAAAATATATTTTAGAATCATTGATTACAGCGCCTCCACAAAACAGTGTGCACATCTTTGTAACTACACCAAATGCATTGTCTGCAATCTGCATTCTGCACCCTAATGAGCGTTGGCTCATTAAGACATCGCTTGTGACATCGAAAATGGGTATAAATACCATGACTTCACTTCATCCACATCATTCTTCTCGTGTTGTTCGTCATATATTGAGATCAAATTCTCTTCCTCTCGAATTTTAACTAAAATCAATTTAAAAACGTAAGTTCCAAAAATTATTTAATTGTATCTGAAATTATTTCATATTTTCTCGACGATTTTTCATTTCGATTATTTGTTGATTATTTTGGTTATTTCTGTTCTTTTCTTTTGTGATTTTCTCCCAGACAAGATGTCAAAGAATAGATTGAATTTAACATTGCCACCTGCTTCAGCGGATACATCGAATCCACCGAATGTTCCAACCCCACCCCTCAAAACACCATCTCGTGCAAAGTAAGTTACGAATGATTATTCTATAGTCATCTATGCAATATCTGAGCCAATATTTTCTATTTAATCTTTTTTTTTTCTATTATTTTATTATTCTATTCTTACAGTCGTGCGGATTTGTTGAATCAACCTAAAAACAGCATTGACACAATAACACAAACACTTCAACAGTTGGATGTTGAAAAGCCTGCTTTAAACCGCAGTCAAAAAGAGCAAATGGGTGAAATTCTTGATGAAGATTTGGAAACACTTGCTGAACTAGGTTCCGGCAGTGGAGGTGTTGTGATAAAAGTACGTCACATTCCCACGCAATCGACTATGGCACGAAAAAAGATTCATTTAGAATTGAAACCGCTAGTTAAAAAGCAAATTATTCGTGAATTAAAGGTGCTGCATGACTTCAATTTTCCGCATATTGTTGGCTTTTACGGTGCTTTTCAAAACGATGGTGAAATTAGCATTTGCATGGAGTACATGGATGGCGGTTCATTGGATTTGATTTTAAAGTGGGCTGGTCGTATTCCTGAACCGATTCTTGGAAAAATCACGCTCGCTGTGCTCAAAGGATTGAGCTATTTACGCGATAAACATGCAATCATGCATCGAGATGTTAAACCAAGTAACATATTGGTAAATAGCAACGGTGATATCAAAATTTGCGATTTTGGCGTCTCCGGACAATTGACTGACTCCATAGCAAATTCGTTTGTTGGCTCACGAAGCTATATGTCGGTAAGCACAAAATTGATTCAAAAATTGATTATTTTGTTTAATTTTTATTTTTTCTCATTGCAGCCAGAGCGTATTAATGGTGGTCACTATTCGGTGCAGTCTGATATATGGTCATTGGGTTTGTCACTTATTGAAATGGCAATTGGTGTGTATCCAATACCTCCACCTGATTCAAAATTCATAGATCAAATACTCAATGAGAATTCGAACCAATCACCGAAGATGCCTGAACCGAAGATGATGGCCATTTTTGATCAGCTTGAATGTATCATTAACCAACCACCCCCACGACTCGAACACAAAACTTTTAGCGCCGAATTCACAGATTTTGTTGACAAATGCTTGAAGAAAGATCCGAATGAGCGAGCCGACTTAAAAACACTTTTGGTACAGATATAACTTTTTTTCTTTATTTAATGAATGACCAACATTTAAAAATGTGATTCTTTTTCTTTTATAGGAACATCCTTGGATTGAAAAGTATGAAAACGAATATGTTGACGTTGCTGGATGGGTTTGCGGTACGATGAATTTACCGCCATCAACTCCAAACTAGATTAGTGAATGATCAATAACATTATCAAAAATTCAAATACCATAGTTTCATACTCGAAAAAAACAAAACTGATTAAATGAGCGAGTGAGGATAAAAAAGGGATTTGATTCAAATTGTCATGTACACTATCATACATGAATGTATTTCGCATTAAGAAAAATAATTGACCAAATGGCAGCATGTTCTAGTTATACATCTTATACTAAATACTGAAATAAATAAATAAATAATCAACTAACTGAAAAATCTATATTTATAAAATTGGTGTATAAATGTAGGCGATTAAGCAAAACAAATACGGGGAGTATACTAGGACCGCTTATCAGCAGTGTCTGTAGTTCCCCGTTGCTCAGGTTACTACCTATTGCAAGACGCCCGTTGAGTTATGATGCTACTGGACTGCCGGGGTTCCATCAAAACAAATATATGTGATACTAGTACGGGGGTGCAAGGTTAGTCTATCCTCACAAATCGTCTGAACTTATCTTGTTTTTTACTTTTCCGCACACACCCAGTTTGCTCAAAAACGAAAATTTTGTATGAAAGGCACCCCTAAATTGTATTGAAATTTTTTCAAACATTTAGAATGTCGGCTTTTTGTGCAAAAAATAATCTCAGCAAATTTTCACATGGTTAAGATATCATACAGGCATGGACCTAATTTCGTCATAAAATTTCAGAAAATCCGAATAAAAATTAATTGAAAATCGGAATAAAATTTCCTACAATCGGAATAAAATTTCAGGAAAACGTCATAAAATTTGCGAAAATCAGTATAAAAAATATCCTGCCTGTAATTAATTGCATGTAACGCTTGATCGCCATCCAAGAGAGTGTTCCCAAAATTTTCCAAAAAATGTAGCGGGGTAATTTGGTCTCTCAAAAATAAATTGATTTGAATTGAATTCGCTAAAAAAAATCCTAGCAAATCGAAAGAATTACGCTCATTGAAAAACCCAATCTAACAAAAATCTTTTTACAATTTTTCTTCCAAAATAAAAAAAAATCGCAGAATTTATGTTCACGAATTTCGGAAAATTTATGACGTTTTTCTAAAATTTTTGACAATTTTCTGAAATTTTATGACGGTTTTTCATTTTTCCATACAGGCATGACTTCCACACAAAAATCCAATTTTTTAGAAATGTTTCTATGAAAAGTGCGTTGAAAATTATTTGTATCGTAAAACTAATGACAGATTCAGTTTTCTCGTGAATTCTTCGAGTAAAAGATATTATTATTTTTAAGTAGAATTATTATTTTCGTCTGTGTACAGGCCTGTACAATGTCTTAATATTTTTCTTTCAAATATTCTAATTTTTTATAAGTAATGATGGATCTGATTAATCGTTTGTATACGAGTTTTTTTTACCTTTAATCGATTTGTCTGTAGAAATTTAAATCGGGAGTAAAAATTGTCCCGAGATATTTAATTTCCTTTGTTTTGTCAATTAGATGATTATTCAACGTAAATTGACATTCTGTTTTCTGCTTTTGTATTTTGTTATTCTGAAGTGTCCCACAAATGACATTGAACTGTTTTTTTCGGAATTTAGGAGTATTTTCCAATTGTCAAAGTAATTTGAGAGAGTTTAAAGATAATTGTTTACGTCATCTTTTAAAGATACTATATCATTTTGATTATTATATGCCACAATCAAAGTATAGTCGGTATATATTGCGTAACATATTGGGGAGATGATTGTGTTAGATTGATATCTATTCACTCTTCGTCGATTTCATTATAGTATTCGGCGAGAAAACAAGTATTACCAGATTAGTAAACTTTTTTAACAACGACCTGTAATTGCAACAAATCATATTGTCAGTTTGATATCAGCGACTCTTGCAACGCTGAAATATAATATCAATTCAAGCGCATTACTCATTTGTTTTTCAGTTGTTTTTCGATGCATATTTAAAATATGTAAACAACAAGAGGAAAAATTGATAAGGAATTCAAATTTCATCGCTTCGATAGCACCAGGTGACGTAAAATTCACTTGTTTTGAGATTCGAACCATGCAGATGTAATTAAAATTCCATAATTTGCGTTAGTAACGAAAATGTCGTGTGTAGTATTCTGTGTAAAATAACCAAGGAATGTACACATCATTATTTTGAAATAATATTTTCCTCCTACTGTGAGAGTACACAAACGTAAAAACATAGCTTTCTCTTACGTCTTCAAAAAAAAAAAAAGAAAGTTTACATCTTTATTAGGGCGGATCGATTTTTAAATTTACATGATGTATATCAATATACCAGCAATGAAATCCCTACTGACCAGCTAGATGGTCTCGACACGAGTGGACGAATTTTAACATTTATTTGAACGACGCCATGTCACTATACTTGTCCATTACAACGTATATGTACACAAGAAACACACAGTCGGCATGTCCACTGTAGTGAACATTAACGATTTGAAGAATATTTGCAACTCAATTTGTCAATATGAACTAGTTCGAATATAGAACTACACATAGGAACATATACGAAGAATCTGACATCAAAGTTTCAAACAGCAAAAAAAGTGTTATTGTTGTTATCGTTTCATTGCTGCTCCCGGAACCAAAGGTTGAAATGATTATAATCCTGATTCATTGAATTCAATCAGAAAAAACAATCAATCTAAAACAATAGTAGTTTAAAAAAATCCAACCGATGCTGTGGAGTAAACTTGACCGCAGACAAAATTCAAGAGAAAAGAGAGATTTTTACATGCAAAATAAGAATGATGATCCACTTTGACACCTTGAAAACGCAAAATTCAATAACAAGAATTAAATTGAGCACAAATAAGAACTATTTTTGTTTTTGAGCAAAAAGTCACCGTTTAATGTTGAATTTATTCCATTTCATTGAATTTAACGATTTTCGGAATGTTTACTCAATGTGTTTGATCATACAAACGAAAAAGTTCGCTGCTTGTGCTTTGAAATTTGTATATAAAATACACCAATTTCATGATGTCACAATGTGTGTGCGGGTAAGTAAAACTGCTATATAAGCAAGGATCTCATTAGGTTTGAAATTAGTAGTGTTCAGTCTTCCGTTAGAAGCTGATATAAAAATCGAGTTTGGAGTAAGAAAAGGAAGTGTATCATTAGAAAAATGTTGTTGTTGAGAATCGTTGCTTTTGTTTGTGCAATAAAATGCACTATCGGGCTTCGATATATTAAAGTCGTAAACAATAATAATTTTCCAATTTGGATCGAATCATTTTCAAACAATGGACAGCCTCCATTGAGAAATAATGAAGCTGTTTTAATCAATCCAAGCCAAGCAGAAATATTTAACATTGAAGACTCAGGCTGGGCTGGACGACTGTGGGCCAAATTTGGGTGCGATGGCGACGGTACAAATTGTGAAATAGGTCAATCAGTCGCTCCATGTCCATCAAACGGATGCCAACCGCCATCTGATACCAAAGTTGAATTCTTCTTCCCACCAATTGGTGACCCAAAGGATGCATATTATGACATCAGTTTGGTACAAGTTTTATTTTTTAAACATAACCAAATTTATTAATTTTTTACGTTTTTTCCAAAAAATTAGGTGGATGGATACTCTTTGGCCAGTGAAATTATACCATACCAAAATGTAAGGGAAATCGAAAATAAAAAGTGTTCACTTATACTCAACAATAAATGAATAACATAATTTTTATAGAATCAACCATTCCAAAATGGCGCTTGTGCTCGAACTAACTGTCAACTCCAATTGAACAGCTGTCCAACCAACGAAATAAGTGGTTTGGCCGATTTGACTGTAAAAGGTAGAAGCAATATCAATTTTCTGTTTTAAAATGAGTAAAGGGAATATATCGAGTTAGAAACTTATTAGTTGAATCTAGTTTTACTTTCATTTGCTTGTGAAATTTTTCATTCAATTCCATTGCCAATGATTCCTTTAAATTTATAATTTGAACCACGTGAGAAATTGAGTTTGAAAATGTTTCGAAACATTTAAACTTATTGGCCACTATATTTGCATAACATTGAATATATTAAATTCATGACACATCCTTAGGTAAAAACAATAATATAGTATCCTGCTTGGCACCGTGTAAAAAATGGAATTATCCGGCTCCTTACGGCAATGCTAGAAATGAACAAGAAGGGGATGGACGCATGCTTTGCTGCCCCGAAGGTGTTTTGCCAGAAGATTGTAGAAAAGGACTTGTTACTCAAACTGAATATGTAAAACTTCTTCGTAACACTTGCCCGTCCGCATACAGTTATTCATATGATGACGAAGGTGGACTACACAATTGTCCATCTGACACAAGTTATGTTGTTAATTTTTATTCAACACCCGTAAGTCAAACGTCAAATTCTTTTTTTTTCGAAGGAAAATGTTTTAGTCATATTTGGAATATTAATAAAATTTACAAGTTTTCATAGTGATTAAGTTATACATTTGGAGCAGTTTGTATCAATATTTTTGTTGAGTCGAAATTGATCGGATTTTTTTCCAATATGTACACACAAATCACAACTAACCTCAATATGAACAAAAATTGACATAAAACTGCATTTATCCGAAGTCTCAACCGTTTTTGGGATAAATTTTAGTTCAGATTTTTTCCGCTCAACTATTTAAGTGCTTAACATATATCCCTTTGGCATTTGAGCGGAAAAAATGCATACTAAAATTTATCCCAAAACGGTTGAGACTTCGGATAAATTGAGTTTTATGTCAATTTTTGTTCATATTGAGGTTAGTTGTCATTTGTGTGTATGTATGCAGTAACTTGATCACCGCGAAAACTTGTGAATCTTATCTCCTTTATAAAATACATACTCTTACCAAATCTAAAGAAATTTCAATCGAAAATAAGGGTAAATAATTTGGCTCAAAATGAAAATGTTGTTGGCAAGTACCTCTAATTTGCACTGACATTTCTTCAAACTATCAGAATGTTATTTTTATGTGAAAAAATTAAACTGTGCAAAGTTTTACGTCATTACGATATTATATAAGCATGATTCCCACAGAAGAACCAACATTTTTGTTGATTTTTGTATGAGAAGTGTATCAAAACTTATTTGTATTGCAAAACTATAACATCAGATTCGGTTTTCTCGTTCACTTTTCAAATAACTTTATTAGGGAATGAGCTATCGTGTTAACAAATTTTTGCGTACATTATACATTGTACACCGTACGTACACACTCAGAGAAGTTTTTTTAAACAGGTTTTCTCTATTTTGAAATAGGGCGCAAGTGGCGTTGGATCAGTACCACACGAGGTATCGTGTATAAGCGCAGGTAAATTACAAACGCCTATAGGTAAATTACTCTCGTTTTTACCACAAAAAGCATCAGGCGGAGCTTCTAAAGCTGGATCGGTCAAGCCACCAAAAAAGGCATCAGACGGAGCTTCAAAAAAAGCTGGATCAGTTTCGTCGGCACCAAAAAAGACAACAGGCAGTACGCGCTTATATCCGGACGAATCTTATTACGTAGATGAACCCTGTAAGATCCTATGCAAAATTAGAGTAAATTAAAGATTACATTAGTAAATGAACTCTTTTACCAGATCTCTTTGGTATGCTTTCAAAAAAGAAGCTAATGAAACCAAATGACCATGTTGTAATGGCTGCCTTGCCTTTTACTGATCCAACAACTGCAATAGAATCACATAAAAAAGGTTCAAAAGGTAATTTACCTTAATCAACATTTGTCAATAAAATTTAATATTTGTAAGAAAAAAATAGTATAATAGCAAGAACATTTTTACAAAAACGGCATAAGCTATGGTAGGTTTTGCTGCGGTCGCTAAAACTACTGGCGGTCAGGCAGGTAAAATGATTCAAATAAATAACTTGGCTGATCTCATCAAGTACGTCAACGACAGCGTTCCTCGGGTGTTGATGATCAATAAAGACATAAAAGCACCAAAACTTACCAAGGTTCTCATGGGGTCGGATAAAACTATCATCGGTTCGCCAAAAAACGTTAGGCTGTATAATATTTATCTCAGTGCCACCAAAAAGTCGAAAAATATCATTTTTCAAAACTTGATTTTTGAACATTCGCCAATCAACAATGGCAATGATGATATTCAGTTATATCTGAACTATGGTAAAGGATATTGGATCGATCATTGCTCATTCGTTGGGCATGCATGGTCTCTTGATGATGGCAGTAACGATAAACTCCTTTATATTGGCGAAAAAGCTAGCCACGCTACTATAAGTAATTGTTTCTTCGGAAACCATAAATACGGGCCGACCTTTGGGTATCTGGAGGATAATCTTAAAGTACAGGGTAATGCTGATACACATGTAACCATCTATGATAATCATTTTGAAAACGTGGAAATTGGAGCACCCGGACAAATGAGATATGGGCACTACCATGTATACAATAACTATATTAACAATTGTCAGGTGGGATTTAAAGTTTCAAAGAACGCCGTAGTCGTTTCTGAATATAACTATTTTAGTGTTAACACAAAAAATAATGGCAATGGCATGTTGGATGATAGAAAAGATGGAAAGTTTAGTGATACCGGTAGTGTCCCGACCATACATCAAAAATGCCCGAAGTCTAATTGGAGGGCATCAAGCGCCTATAAGTACAAAGCAGTTGAAAGGGCAAACCCTGGAAAATTTCCTTTGGACAAATTTCAACCAACAGAAGAATTAGGTATATACGGATACGGTAGACCTACACAGGGATCCACACTGCCTCTACCATCCATGCAATATCCAGCTATGGTTTCACCTTCCGCGCAATCATTGAATCTTCCAAGTTCGCCAAGTTTACACTGAACATTTTTATAAGAAATATGAGCTTTTTAGAATAATAGATCTACATTAAATAATCTTCCATAAAAAGGGCATTAAAATAGGTTGAACAAAAATAAGGAGTAAAATATTATGCTCTCTTTTCTGTTTGTTCTCTTTTGCGTGTTGCTGAAGATGACAAATAAATTTTGTCGAAATGCATACAAAAGTTTTTTAGAAATTCATCAAATAAATTTCTTCATATTGTGAACTCAACTTAAGGTGTTTTAAATTATTTAATTAGATTATTATGCTCTCATTAATTTTTTCACTGATTCCCTTTTATCGAATTAGTTTTGCGATACAAACAATTTTCGACACACTTTTCATAAAAAATTTCAAAAAAAATTAATTTTTGTATGAAAGCCATGCTTCTATGATATAGTAATAAACTGTAATAACATTCCAAGAGATTTCAATGCATAATGGGGGTACCTCCCGAACAAAATTTTGGTTTTTTTGCTCAAAAACGAAAATTTTGTATGGAAGGTACCCCAAAATTGTATTGAAATTTCTTCAAACTTTCAGAATGTTAGCTTTTTGTGAAAAAAATGACCTCTGCGAATTTTCACATGATTACGATTTCATACAAGCATTGAAAAGTCTATCAAAAATTATTTGTATTGCAAAACTAATGTCAGATTCAGTTTTCTCATGAATTCAAATTTAAGTAAAAGATATGTAATAAATGCATGTTGTGGATCACAGTGCGGAAAAGTTCATCTTACGAATGTAAGGCATTTTATTTAAATTGTTGTTCACATTTCAAGTTATTAGTGAAAAAATGTATGTAAACATTTCTAAAAGTCATCTTCATGAGAGCACAATATTTTACTCCTTATTTTCGTTCAACAATATTTAATGTTGATTTATTATTTTTAAAAGCTCATATGTCGTCTGTGTTCTAATACAATCACCATTACTTGTAACTTCCCTTAAAAATATTCAAGAATGATGAAGAAGTGTTTATTTTCTGTCCATTGTAGATTGAATCTTAATAACCATTGCTCAATTAAAATTCAATTCTTTCATTTCTAAATAAAAACTATTGAAATTTAAATATCTGAAATATGTATTCTAAATAAAGTATTTAGTGGGCTATTTCTTCAAAATTTTACTTTTCCGCACACACCTAGTGTGTGAGATGAAGTATTGGAATCGATCGAAAAATTAAAACCCTCAAAAAACATTTTTTCTGGGTGTTTTAGGAGCCAGGGAACACGAATCAGTCGTTTTTTGATGTCCAAATGTATGTGCGTGATATCCTGTACCCTGTACGCTGTACCCTTACAATGCCCATGGAAAAAATTCAATTTTTATTCCAAAAGACGTATTTTATTTGTAAATTCCCATTATTAGTAGTTTTTGTATGAAAAGTGCGTCGAACATTATCTGTATCGTAAAACTAATGTCAGTTTCAATTTTCTCGTGAATTAAGTATTTATTAATACTTATTTAATAAATGCATGTTGTGGATCACAGTGCGGAAAAGTTCATTGTTTCATATTTTTTCGCCCTTTCACTCAAAAAATAAGTACGAGTATTAGTGAGTGCGTGCATTTCTCCTGTGCCAATAACACCTCTGGTGTTGAAAAAGATGCGGTTTCTCGAAACGAAGGAACCCATACAAAACCATCAACCCGATTTCGATGGTGTATAGTTCCAAATTAAAGCATTCTTCCAATTTTTATTTTTAAGGTATTTGGAAAGATTTCCTCAGTTACTCTCTTGGCCAGACAATTATGAAATATTCATTAATTTTCCCATATTCGTTTTCCTGAAAGCATCCTGAATCTTTTTTCTCGTCCATTCTTATTACTTTTTTAACAATATGTCATAAGGTCCAATAATAAACATGAGCCACATTTTTTTTTGAAAATAAGAATAAATAACAAGCCTCAAAAGTGAGAGATAATAAGTCGTATAAATGATTGAAATCGAATGTTAAAAAACAAGTTTCTTTGTCAACCTTTAAAACTGGAGTTTTTTTTTGCTTAGCTACAATATTTGAAAGAACACCTGTTTAAATTGACGTAATCTCGAACTAGACGATAAAACAAACTACAAATATTGCAATTTTCCATTTGAAAATCCCTTACTTTATTTGAAGAACATTCTAACATGCGCGAATTAATGCCGAATGTCGAAAACAATTTATTTTACTTTTATATAATTTGTGCGAAAAAAAAAATTGTATAGGTGTATAAATGCAGTCGAATCTGCCCTTGTTATTAGTATAACATTTCATGGTTAAGCGACACGCACATCTTTGAGTGTGACAATGAAGCAATTTTTATTTTTCACCATTTTATCATTTTTGGCTTTCAACGATGTAAGTTATTATTTTAAAAAAACATTTAAAAACATAAACACTTCAGAAGAAATATAATTTCAAAACGTCCGAACAAGATATCAACAATTTAAATTAATTTTCTTTGAATTCTGTTATCTTTTGTCGATAGGTATGTATCAAAGGAGCCACCGCGAATAATATCTACCAGAGCATCGTTTTTAAGTTTGCTCTTCAAGCAAGTGCAATTGATTGGTATCCTAAGATTGAAGCTGTATTCTCATTAGCTCCAGATTTTTCCGATCAAGCTACTGAAATTTTAAATAACGTTCTTCGTATCAGTGGGAATCAGGAAATAAACACACTTTGCAATGAATTGCTGTCGATTCCAGCCGATATTGATCAAATTCCGAATGACGTTCAAAGCGTCTTCAATAACTGGACATTTGTATTATCAGCAACCGAAGGCTATGTCAACGCTAATTTAAAAACCATTACAAATTTTCATCAAAAATATGAAACTGGATTCATAAAACATATTAATTTGGTGAAGAAATCACGATCACCATCTGCTATTTTAAATTATCTTAAGGCAGCCAAGAAATTTGTAAACGATTATCAAAAGCGTCGTAATATTTGGGCAAATGGTTTGATGGGCGCATCATTGCATTTTTAAACGAATGCAGTAGGAATTGCAAAAACCAATTTTGAAAATGAATTTGAAAAAAGAAAACCATTTGTAAATTATATTTTCCATCCAATGTACTTTGAATTTCAATAAACATAAAGAGGCTTACGTACGCAAGCTAACTTTTCCGCATGGAACTGAAATTTTGGGAATAAACTGAAATGATGGTCTATGTATGGTTGCAGTAACTTAAATTACCGTGAAAACTTGTGAATATTATTTTCTTATCAAAATAAATAATCACACCAAGTTGAAAGAAATTTCATTCAAAAAAATAGCCTGTTCAAGGTTTCACATCATTACGGTACCACAAAGGCATGTCTTTCATACAAAAATGAAATTTTTTGTGGATTTTTGTATGAAAAATTGATTGCATCTTAAAACTAACATCAGATTCGGGTTTGACCAGATCTATTTCTCGTACTGTCCAATCATCCCGTAAAGTAAGATTTTGAATTTCATGTCTGAGCACGAAACCATCGTATCACCAAAATGGTTGAAAAATGATCAAAAAATGTATGGATGTGGGTACTCATCGTGTTTTCTACATGTGATATGCATAGAAAACATGTTTTGGGGTGACTTACTGCAACCATTAAGTTACTGCAACCATATATAGACCATAATTTCAGTTTATTCCCAAAATTTCGGTTCCATGCGGAAAAGTTAGCTTGCGTACGTAAGCCTCTTTATTTCTATCCCATATAATCATAAACTCTTGATATGATAAATCTTATTGTTTCCAATTCGGTTTGAATTTTCAGTAATTTGGTGATCCGTTCGATGGGACTGAGGTAGGAAAAAGTTAACTGTTTGAGTGTCAATAGCCGATTGTTTGCTACATATGTCCATGTTACGGATTTCTACAGAAAACACACAAGACTTTCGTTTTATTCTTTTCTTATGTTAATAAATAAAAAGATTACAATGTTCATATTTACATAGCTTAAGCTGTTGTTGTATAATGATCGAAATCATTCTAAAGAATTGGACAATTGGCGTTAACGAATATGATTATTCGGTACTTGTATACATATTATATTAAAATTTACAGTAGAGTACAGATTAAAATTCCGGTTAGCGAGTATCACGCAAAACGTTTAGAAATTTTTTAACATTCGAAAACTATTAATTAGTTTCCCAATGAACATGGCATTGAATAACTCTATAAGTTGGAAATAATTATTTCTTGATAGCAGATCTGACAATGCACAATACCAATGACCATATCACATTGCTTATATCGATAAATTGTTCCATAATAGAAATATTTACATGTGAAAGAATTATATCTCTATAGCGAGAGTGGCTTTTGATTGACCTTACGATGAATTTTACAAAGTCTGGAACATTTACATTTAAAATGTTTGAGTGAGTGAGCTAACTCTTGGAAAATGTCATTAGAAAGATGATTTCTTCTGATTTCAAATATGACTTGGCATATTTACAAAAAAGGTTTTTACAATTTATAGACATTTTGGGGACAAACTATGATCCTCCATTCGATCATTTAGATTTAAATTAATTAATTTTGAATGTACGTCAGAGTGCATGCTTTTGTTTCAATTTAAATAGATTAACATAGCGATCAGCGAGTATCACGCAAGACCTTTAGCCATCATTTTTTCATAATTCAAACATTCACAGTGTGTTTGGGGCGAAAATAATAATAAATTTGAATTTTGAAAGAGAGAGTCAACAAAACCATCCGATGTTCTGCTGGATGAATCAATCAAGGAAATCACAACGAATTTTAGTACAGCAAATGCAACAATTATTTCTGTATAACAAGTATACCTCTTGGAAATGAAAACGTCATAAGAATGCACGATGTGAATGAAAAAGATAATTTCTTCTGATTTAAAATGTGACTTGGCGTATGTAAAAAAAAGATGAGGACAAACTATGATCCTCCATTCGATGATTTAGATTTGAATTAATTAATTTTGAATGTATGCCAGAGTACATGCTTTTGTTATTAGGATTTAAAGTAGACGCAGCTTAAAATAGCGATCAGCGAGTATCACGCAAAATCATTTGTGATTTTGTAACATTTGAAAACTACTAATTAGTTTCCCAATGAGCGTCACATTGAATTACTTTGTTGAATCAAGTTCGCCGATTTTGGAACTTTAAACTCTATCCGAATGTACGATGCAGAAGAGAATGTAGAAGACTACTTTATCAAATTTGGTGAAATGTTGACAACAATAGAATAGTAACACACACTAACATAAAGTTGTTGATGAATCATGGCCAAAGTTGTTGTGCTTATTGAGTTCTATATTTCTGCCGCTAATGCGTCGGATTCACCAACTTCTTGGACCTCTTCTAGGTCGTTTCTGATGTTGAATGTTATTCGGATTTCCTCGGGCGTTTTGCCTTTCATCATATTTGCAACGGTTGTGCATGTTACATCCATCAATCCCTTGATGTCCAAGTAATTTTCGGCCATGATTAGCCCAAACAGAGTGCCAGCGATTTAAAAAAAGAGAAAATTAGTTAATGTTTGTTCCATATTGAATTCATCGATCAATATTAAACGAATGCAGTTGAACATGATTATTTTTTGCTTATCTTGATCGATTTTCAAAAATTCAGTGTCCCATTCGGAGATTGGATTGTTGCTGGCACCATTGTCATCATCAGCATTAGTTGGAATGGTTTCGCCCTTGTGATGTTCGGACCACTTTAAAACGCGATTCAAAATATCAGCATTGACTTGAGGTACCGGCAAAATGGCTCCATCTCCAGCTTCGATGCCGCAATCATCCAACATGATTTTGATGGTATTCGACATTTTGGCGACTTCAATCTCAATTTCGAACTTTTCACCGTCTGATGATTGCAACGTAATTTTCGACATCTGAAAAAACACACAGAAAACTTTGACATAGTTTATTTCTTAGTTTTCACTCTTTCTATTGACGAGAAAATGAAGAATAATGTCAGAAAAAATTAAATAATTTTTGGAACTTACCTTTTAAAATTGATTTTACTTAAAACTCGAGAGAGAAAGAATTGGTTTCGATCGTAATTTGTAGTTAAGTATTGCTCTGACGAAAAACACGAGTAGAATGATATGGATCAAGCAAAGTCCTGATATTTATACCCACTTCGACTCCATTAATGTCTTAATGATCCAATGCTCATTAGGTGGTTAATTACCTCATTTGGTGTAATTACAAAGATGTTCATACTTTTGTGGGGGCGCTGTAATCAATAAATATTTTTTTTTTTTTTGAGTAATTAGCAAATGATATCTTAATGATTTTAAAGAAAAGTACCATTTCCAAGGAACTAACGGAAAATTATATTTTTATACCTGAATAAAAGACTTTTTCATATCTACACGTGTAGAGTATAGACTTGAGAAGCACTGTTTAGAACTAAATAACTAAGTTTGATGCATTTTTAACAAAAATAAGTCATGTGCATTAGTAGGGCTAGCCCAAAATGTCAATATACCAGATGAAAATGAGTAGACTGAATTTCCCGTGCATGAACTTATTTATTTTATTCAGCATGATTTCACGCTATCTACGTATAGACGGAGAAAAATCGTTCTAAATCAGTTCAGTTTCTAAAGAATATAATTTTTAAATCAAATAATTAAAACAAAATTCATCCAGTATTCAGTATTGATATTTGCGAATCCACATAAGATTAGTAAACACGTATTCGTCGCATAATTTGTTGTATCTATCGCTGGATTTCACATTGCAAAGTAGTCAAGTATTGCGAAGCGATATCAGCACCAAATGCTGTACTCACATATGCTACAAACACGAAAGCAATAAAAATACACATGTGGTGTTTAGTGCTCACATTTGCGTATGCGTCATAATCGGTTCAATAACAGCCGTTTCAACGATCAACATAAACCAAGACATAAACGAGTGTATGTATTTACGTATACTTAAGTTCTTAACGCGAATCAAGGCAGTGATACAGTAGTATGATTTAAGTTGATCGAATACCACACCATTTCGAAATGGCAAGTGACTGCGAATCGCGATGACGCATAAACAAAATTTCCAATTATGAAGAAAAACCCATCCTTGATAAAAAAAAATGAGTCTATCATCAGACTTTCTGATCTTTGTAGCTGGTCCAGTTGAAATCGGTTTGCTATAAGTATTGGTTCGACTGGCTCACAAATCAGTTTTATATTGTTCAATCCAGCGCTAACTTGTGTTTTACCATGGAATCAAAATTAAGTGTATTTTTCCTATTTGTTGTTTTTCAAGTGAGTAAAAAGTTCTTTAGATTTATTTTGCGACAGATTTTTTTTTCTTCTTCAACATTATTTTCGAAACAAATTGATGAGATGGAAAAAATTTAAATTTTCATTTTATGTTTTGATTATTACAGTTTTGTTCAACTGTTGAGATTCCCAGTGTGAGCGAAATGATTCAATATCCAACTGTTCCGACTCCGACTACGATCCAAAATTTTAGTAGAAGAAGTCATGATCAACATCCAGCGGTTACGACTCCGTCAACGAAACAACTGAGCGAAAGATTTCAGTATGAACCTACAGAAAATGAACACATGAAGTTAACCCATCAAATGATTGAGAACATATATCCATGTGTCAATTTGAAAAATGCTAAAAAAGTGATTGACAGTGTAAATATGCTTCGGTTGCCACATGAAGCTGGACATCTTGAGGCCGAAGAAGCTGAAGTAAATAGGATACCTTGTTAAAGAGGAGATACTACATTTCAATGAAAAAATTCTCAATTTTTCCCCAACAGATGGATTTGCTTTACATAATGGTCTTCGGTGTGGACGGGATAATGCCACTTTCACGATGGTATCTCATGTTCGAAAAAATTGTCGATGCATTTGATGAATGTATGTACATTTCATTCCATCAACATGTTTCGTTTTCTCGAATAAATTCAATGAAATCAATTTGTATTTTCAGCTGATGTGACGAGAGAGGACCCATTTAAATTGAATGAATTAATTTTCAATCACTATTTAACTCCCACACAACGGAAACAATTGAAAGTTATCATAGATTCATTTACAGAAGGAAGCACACATGCGCTGAAGGTAAGTTGAAAATATGGCAATTTATCGAATTCACATCAATCAATTTCAATGAAATTTCAGAGATATATGTATGGATCTACAGTTGGTGCTATATTGGACATTCCCCATGAAACTATTGCATTTGTTTTAGAGCGAGTAGATAACATTGCAGCGGTTGAATATCAATTGAGCCGGTTTGCCATCGATCAGTGCAAGAGAGTGTATCCATACTTTAATAATGTGAACGTTGCCAACGAAATCATGAGATTGATTAAAGGAAATTGATTCCTCGATAATTAGAAGAAGAAAAAAATGTGAATTGCTTATGACTTTGAAGTAAAAATACACAAATAAATATATAAATGACAAAATCAAAATAAATAAATATCTCTAATTTGCGGTTGCTGTGCTGTTAAAATAGCTGAAGTGATTACGAAACAACTGATAAATGAAAGTAGCATTTTGGTGGGTAATTCCATGTTTTTGTTTTACAATTACCAGAATAATCGTGAAGGGTCAGAGTTTATATCATTTTTTAGAGACTCAATTTCAATTAAATGGATTTTCGAATATTTGCTCGAAAAACAAGATGTCGTATCGCCTTTGGAGCTTTAATTGTGTTTTTTTTCTTATTACTTAAAGTAAGTGTATGTGTCCATATCAGTGCAACGTAAATCCCCAGTTGAGTTCTATTATTATAATTTATTGTGCTCTGTTGCACGTTTACCAAATGACCAATCATGTTCGGTCAGCAAAATGCATAAAATTTGTCTCACGTGATGGTATGATGAACGCGGTAAAAATGAATGTAACAGGTGATTGACTTGATTTCATGCCGTTGGATAGGTTATGATAAGTCGCTTGTGTAAACGAGTTTTTTTTTTAACAGTCACGATAAAACGTCATTCAATTTTTGAAAGAGTGAAAGATAAAGAGAGGGACACAATGACACAAATTAACACAAAAACTACATTTTTGATGGAATGACCTTGTCATCGAATTTTGATGAAAATAAAAAAAATGATGACGCTACAGATGAGCGCATCAACGACTATTTCAAATGTTACGAAGCAGTAGAACTGGCTACCTAATGGCTATATTCATGAACTGCGGGTATCGTTCATGTGTTGATTTTGAATGAAAGCAAAAGAGAAAATACAAAAACTGATAGCTGTTATTTACAAATATAGCTGGACTAGTAGTCGGTAGTCAGTTCTATAGTATGGAACGCAATACAAAATATTTTTTTAAAATTATAAATAAAAAAAAAATTGATTAAAAAGTTCAAAATATCAATGAGTCATAGACGAAGTCGTCGTAAACTTTGTTTGTTGAAATTTTCGCAAGATTCTCTAAGAACGTCGATTAAATGACTTGATTTATTAAGAATGTTTTTATTGTGTTTCTTTGTGTGTGTTTTTTTCAACAAATTGCAGATTTGGCCGATTCGTCGACATGAGAGTATACAAGTGTGAAAAAATGTTATCAATTCATTGAAAAAGTAGAAGAATCGTCGGTAAATTTCAAAGAAAATCTTCACTTCAACTTTTTATGATATCGATCATTTCAAATAATAATATTTCTTTGATAGTTCCGGCTCGGTACCGCCCATATGGTTTCTTAAACTCACAAACTCACCTATGGATTTACGTCATTCTTAAATGTCAATCTGTTTAAATATTGCACAAATCGATAAAATATATAAATTAAATGTCTGTGACCCTCTTTCATTGCGACGTCATTCATATGACGTGATCAATTTTACGAAATTTAAAGCAAATCTTCTCAACAACTGAACTATTTGTGATTTGCGGTATAAAAAGTCATGCATAAAATATGCTATCAGCATTTTTGTGCGCAAAGTCGGACTGTTTTGACGTCGAACACTGATTTTTTTTAAAAAAAAGTGACAAGTAGAATGTACATTAATATTGATAGTATGTTCTAGAAAAAACGGCTATTTGAATAGCCAATGGGTGTTAAAATTGAAATTACATTTCCAGAACGATAAATTCTGGGAATTACATCGAATATCTGGTTATTGCTCGATATTTCTTCCAATTTGATATAAAAGTGTTTATGTGGCGCAGAAAAATTCATTTAAAGCGTAGTTTTTTGTTGGAACCGAATTCATTTGATTGTAGTCTATCGATGGTTTAACTTAACGAAATATGACTTATAAGTTGAATGCACTCCTCGTGTTGAGTGTTTGTCAAGTAAGTGAAATGTTTTGGTTTCACGAATAGGACTTTTTTTAAAGTTTTTGTTGTTTAACGTGTAGTGTTAATTCTTGAGAAAATTTCAATTTCAGTTCGCCTGTACTATGACTATCGTAACCACTTCGCCTTCAACAGAAACATTTGAGACGACAATTGAACATTTTCGGGGTGTTTTCTCATCATTTCCATGTGCAAATAAGACAATTGTCAGTCGGATATTTAATATAATGAATTTAGCATTGAATCCAAATAATGCACATTTTTCTGGAAGAGACGCAGCAAAGGTATGAGTCACACGATCTTGTTTTTTCCTTTCATTTGCACAAAAATGAGATTAATCGATTTCACTAAATCAGACAGAATGGTTGTATCTGATGGTAATTGGAAATAGTTCAAATATTTCAATCAAACGATGGCGCGTCATTTTGAATAAAATACTTGAAGCGCATAAGTCACAAAGTAAGCGAAAAATATCTTTCAAAAAAAGTAAGAACGAGTAAGAGAATTATACTTTTAGATGAGGAAATTAGGGAGAAAAACGAGCAAATGCTCGAAATTGATTTAACAGAATCACAAATTCATCGATTTAATCTATATTTGTGCGAAGCCGACAAGCAAATGACTTCTTCCGATGGTGAAATTTTCAATGTGAGTTGTCTCTTTTTAAAATAGTCACACCAAACAGTTTTTTACAATGGATTCCGTATGTTTCAGCGATATTTTTTCGGTTTCCCAATAGGATTAGCACTTGGAGTCCCAGAAGAAGATATTAAAGATATTTTGGAAGACGATATTTACGGCAATCAAGCGATTGATTATTTAGGACGATTGGCACATTTGATTTGCGGCACCAAACATCCAAATGCCAGTAGTCATCGAACTAATCAAAACATTGTACGCGATTTACGAGAGGCACTGGAAGGCCTTTTAAATAGAAGCCAACAAGCATGAGATTTACTATGTTTAATATTTATTGTGATACAATTACTTACAATGTTATTATTAATTCACGCTATAATAAGCAACATTTTCATGAAATATATGTTTCAATATTTATGACTATTATTCTTTTTTTTGTGTCAATTTTTTTGTGCGGCTGAATGGATTTTCCATATAAATCAGTGACCGGTTTGCGCATATTTCTATGTTTGCCTAAATACGCTAGGTAGCATAGATATGCCAAGCATAGCCGCAAACGCAACCGACGCATCGCCGTTCACTCTATATGAACAATACACATGTTCGTTTATGCAGACGACCGTGCGCATACAACATAGCTCGAATCGAATGGTGACGGGTGCGTTGTGGCTTCCGTCTCCGCTATGCTTAGCATAGCTATCAGGCATAGAAATATGCGCGAACCGGTCACTGATATAAATAGGCTCAATAATGAAGTTTGCCTCCACAGATTTATCATGGAGCGTGATAATGGTCTGAATTATTGCTGAATTCCATAAATTAGAGTCCAATCTCAATTTCCTGCCAATATTTAAAAAAATTTGCCAATACGGACTATCGAAAAGAAAGTGACGCAGCAGTTGGAGCTAGAGTTGGAGTATGATTCAAAATTTGGTGAAACTAATAGTTAATATTGATACACAATAAAAGCAGAAGCACGTCTATGAAGGTAATTTCGCTTATTTTGTTATTATAATGAGACACACATCGAGTGACGATCGAATTTTCGCAGTAAATGTGTTATGGAATTTTATAAGATTACAATTTATGTAATCGCACGCTCATTGTGTATGTATTTGGTACTGTGTAAATATTTTCAGATCATGGCGAAAACACGTGACTGAACTTCAAAGGTTATAATGAATAAATGAAAAAATATGTTGGTCGATTATATTCATTCTTCAATATCATCGTCAAACAATTTATGGCAAATGTGTCAATTTTCGCGTAGTTTGAAATGTTTTCAAGGGGTTATTTTTGTGATGACACTTCTTTCGCATTCAAGAAAAGAAATAATTAAAATATCAGCCTATTTCATTGAATATGGTGGAATCGAGCCGAATATTACAGTTCAAATCTCTCGAATTTTTTGTATTTTCTACATGTAACCTTTGCAATTATGAAATAGTTCAAAATGACTTTGGCTTAATTTCCCCCTTGAAATGTTTCTCAATAAATTATAATTTTTCAAACAGATCCAATTTGACGCCAGTCGATATAGTGTTTTTTGCATATTAATTTTTTTCATAAAGTTGAAATTATAATCATAACCATATTATAAAACATTCTAATTTATCTAAATATTTTGGATTAAACGAACGGAACACATTAAGTATAAATGCACGTTCTTTTTTAGGTTTTTATGTTATTCGATGGCAATTGAATCAATACGCTGTGTGAATTGATAGTTTTTAATAAGAAGAATGGAAATAATAAGATTTTTCACAATATTGAGCATTATTCTGTATTGATGTAATAGCAAAAGGTGGAAATGTCGTTGATTCAGTTATTGCCGCACTAGTTTGTAATGGACTTGTGTCATCATGAACAATTATAAAGATAAAAAAAATTACACATTAAACGCGAAGGAAGTGGCACCACTGGCATCGTCTCCCGATATGTCCGAAACGTCTAATTAATACGAAAGAAGTGCCAAGAGTATTGGTGTGCCCGGAGAAGTGAGGGGATATTGAGAATTGCATAAGAAATTCGGTTCAATGCCATGGAAATCACTGGTCGAACCCACCATTGAAATCTGCAAAGAAGATATTGTGATGAAGGTAAATGCAAAACAGATATTGTTTTGAATAATAAAAAATCGTAATATCGGAAATGCTCGTTTATTTCAATAGGAAGATATTTTTTAGGAAATCAAAAAAAGCCACGTTGTGCTGGTGAAATTATCAAGTTTGCATCACAACTGTGTAATACCTATAAGACAATCGCCGAAAAAGGTGGAGATAAATTTTACAATGGAACTTTGGCCGACCTTATCGCCGATGATTTGAAAGACATTGGCAGTATTATTACAAAAAAAGACTTGGAATCAATTTGACATCCCCCCCTGCCCCTGATAAAAAAAAACCGTGCGCATGTGTGGTTGGATCAGCGCACCTGAGGTTAGTTTGATAGCGATAGAATGGCGTTTTCAGTCCAAAGTATAATTTTACCCTGAAAATGTTTAAGAATGGCATAATTGTGTGTTTTTGTGTAGAGTTTTCGATTTAAAATACTCTTCAAAATTTCTCATGTCATTCTTATCAACTGAATGTCTGTTTTGATACTTTAAGCTTTAGTATGCCAAGCAAAGTTAACTTCAAATTAAAATTCAGCAGATGTTTTCATTTTAATCGAAATGTAATAATTTATATTTTATCGAAAAACCTCTTTTATCGAATTAAATATTTGAACGTTTGCATGAAGCTTGCCCTTGAATTTCATGATAACAATATGTTATATATAGGGATATATTTCAAGTAATTCACATTCCAAAAAAAAGTGCTATTTCATCTTACGCAAGAACAATGTTTTTTTTTCCATTTGAATAACAGTAGTTTGACACCAGTCATATAGAATACCTCATTTATCAAAACATCTGTGAATTATCGTGTTCTCTTCCGTTCATTGTCAGTTGATATTTGAAACTAAAAGCTGTATGAATCGAAGCAGTTCATTCAAAAATGGAGCCAACGAAAAAAAATATTTTATTTGCAACGATAGGCATTGTCATATTGGCTTTTATAATTCAGTTACTCTATCAAAAGGGAGATCACAGTCTTCCAGGTAACATTTTCGCTTCTAATTCACCAAAATGTTTCAAGTGTTTTAAATTGAATATATTCATTCTTGTGATTGAATCAAATTCGATTGCTTTTTTTAAATCTTCACAACATTTCTATTTTTTTATTGTTGCTTAGATCATATCGATTCAATAGATAGACCAGAAAGCGTTTCAAAAAAAGGTATGATAAAAAGAAACGGCGTTTTATTTGGAATTGCAGCAAACAAAAAAAATACTAATTAGTGATTCAAACAAATATCTATAGATCTAAAAGAAGAGTCAAGCGTACCAGAATTAAAAGGCAATGGTCTAGATGGAATGCCAGGCCAAATTGAGGAAGAAGATGAACCGGATCCCGAGTTTCCAGAGCCACCATCATTTTCGAGATTGCAGCTCTTCAAAAAGTATGCTGTATGTGCTGATTCGACAGAATGCAGGTAGTGTATGAACTCAAATTGAATTCGCATTTGAACCAAATTTTTTTTTTATTGCTTTCTTCTTTCTCTCTGTCTTTGTTTCGCCATCGTTGAATTATAGTCTAGTTGGCAGGTTTGTTGTTGAAAATTTTAGCATTCTCATCTCGTTCTTGCATTCAATTTGTCAAATTATTTTTTTTTCTGATTCAAGTGAGATTATTGACCAAGGTGGAAATGTTATTGATTCAGCAATAGCCACAATGCTTTGCAATTCCCTTGTAACACCACAAAGTATGGGACTCGGCGGTGGATTCATTATAAATATTTATAAAGATAAAAAAGTAAGTCAACACGCGTTTATAATACTGTATGTATTACAAGTTTTAAATGAAAATTCTGATCTTAGTTCTACACACTAAATGCAAAAGAAGTTGCACCACTGGCTGCAACTCCAGATATGTTCAAGACACGAGATGAGTACCAGCTCGGAGCTCTTTCGATTGCAGTGCCTGGAGAAGTGAAGGGCTATTCGGAGTTGTACAAGCGATTCGGTTCATTGCCATGGAAATCGTTGGTGGAACCAACCATCAAAATTTGCGAAGACGGTTTTATCCTTACAGAACATATGTTTGATTCGATTGAACCATATCACTATGATGATCCACATATGCGGTAACTATAAGTGCAGCAGATAATCGAGAAAACTTTTTCGAATGGGGGTGTGAAGACAATATTGAATCGACTTTATATATCAACAGGAAAACATTTTTCATAAATGGGCGGAATGAAACACGGCAGCCGGGAGATTTGATAAAAATGCCAGCCGAATTATGTCATACTTATAGATTAATCGCCGACTATGGCGGTGACGATTTTTATAATGGAACACTGGCTGACCTTATACTCGATGATCTTAAAGAAATTGGCAGTATTATCAAAAAAGAGGACCTTCAATTGTATAAGTAAGAATAAGTATTATGAACACCGTCGATGAAAGGAGTAACAAATTCCAATTTTTAGACCACGTTGGGAGGAGACTTTATCGGTGCCTATTAGAGGCAGCAGCATTAATGTGATACCTTCAGCTGGTGGTCCTCTTGTGGCATTCATTTTGAATGTTTTGAGCGGATACAATATGAACAAAACATCAATCGAGACAGAAGATGAACAAATTCAAACGTATCATCGTTTTATTGAATCTTTTAAATACGGTATTTACAGTTGAAGAATTGAGAAGAACTGTATGAAAATATGTTTATCTGTTCTTTTTTTCAGCGTTTGGCCTCCGAACTCATTTAAAGGAATCAGGCATACCATCATCGGTAAGGATTTTGTTTCAAATTTGTTTAATGCAAATTAAATAAATGCCATCAACATTTTAAATTAGTTAATTGAAGAGATGCTGACGCCTGAATTCGGTGAAAAAATCCGTGCGAGAATCAATGAGGATAAAACGTTCAATGATCCCGAACATTATTTCGGTAATTTTATAACTGTTGATCACGGGACAGGACATACTTCGATTTTGGCCCCGAACGGTGACGCTGTTTCGGTGACATCATCGACTAATTTGTAGTAAGTACCTTTAGTTTTTTGAGACAGTCACACGGGGTGTCATGAATTCAAATCATTTCGATTAGTTTTGGAATTGGAAAAACTGGCAAACGAACCGGTTTTATTTTCAACAATGGACTGAACGATTTCGCTGTAACGAATATGCCGAACTATGAAGAGACTCAACCATCGCCAAACAATTTTATCGAGCCCCACATACCACACCAGCGTGCAATCTCGTCATTTAGTCCGACCATTGTAACTGATGCAAATGGTGATGTTCAATTAGTCATTGGGTCCTCTGGTGGCCCCAAAATTATAACAGCTACTGCAATGGTAATTACAATCTTATATTTTTCCGATATTTTGATTACTTTTTTGAATGCTTTAACAAAAATAGATAATTGCCAGAGTACTTTGGTTCAATCAAACTATAAAAGAGGCGATCGATGAGGCTCGAATTCATCATCAGCTATTGCCAATGCACATTGAGTATCAGCATGGAAATACAAAGAAAGTAGTAGCCGGTCTCCAAGATTTGGGCCATAAAATGAAAGTTTATTACTACCGTGGCTCGGTCGTTCGTGCCATTGAGAAAAATCAGTATGGAATCCTTGCAAATTCCGATTGGAGAAAGGAAAGCTTGGCGATAGGAGTTTAACAATAGGTGATTTTTGCCCACGTCATGTTTGTATGCAAAATTAATAAAATGAATTCTTCTCGATAGACAAAATAAAACGAAAATGTGTTTCATTTAAATAATATTATTATTATTTTGTTAGAATTCACATTTAATGAAATTGAATTCAGATGCAAAAATCATCTCAATAATATTCGAAAAAAAAAATTATTTTGAACTTATTTTGATGTGAGACGGTCGATCTGCTCGATAACAGATGGTGTTGAAAATATGCACAAATATGTTTTGATGTAAATGAATTTAAATGTGGAATTTTGTTGTTTTTCATCATTAATTCGAATTAAAACATGTATAAATTGTGGTGTACTGTTCCGTTGAGTACCACTAGTGTTTAAAAGTGAAAAGCTTTGTGTTGTTTTTTTAGAAAATGAAATTATTTGCAGGTTTAGTGATCGCTATTTTGGCTTTGGTGCGTCCACTTTCTCATATAGTCACTATCCTATCTTTCATTGAAATTCTGATAAAATACAGTAAAACCTTTCAATATCGAAGTCTCAATAATACGAGGTCTTTTGTAAAAAGAGTCTTTTATAAAGGTTTCTCTTATTGAGAGGTGTTATTGTAATTCATTTTCATTTAAAACTAAAACACAAAATTCAATATTAATTTCGACCGTTTTCCATTTATGCAGTGCACAGCTGTTAATTGCTGTTCACGTAAGATTGCTGTTCACGTAATTTTCTTTGTTTAAAATAAAATAAAATATATAAATCGTTTCAATAGTGCAGAAAGAAGAAAAATTAAAGAACGATCCATTAAGAGTGATCCCGGATAGAGAGAAAAATCTTCCACCATCCAAGTCGGAATTGCAGCATTTTAATAAACATGTTGTTTGTGCTGATTCCACAAAATGTTCCAAAGTTGGAAGGTAAGAAGATGCTAATGTGTAACCTTCTAACCGGCGTCATAAAATCTTCTCCAATATTTGCTTACATCTTCCAGTGATATACTAGCAAAAGGTGGAAATGTTATTGATTCGGCCATAGCCACAATGTTTTGCAATGGAATGATCGATGCCGAATCGATGGGTATCGGTGGAGGATTTATCATGAATATTTATAAAGATAAAAAGTTCTATACATTAAACGCGAAGGAGGTGGCATCGGAGGCGGCAACACCGAATATGTTCAAAACACAAAAAGAATACGAAATTGGCGCAGGATCAATTGGAGTTCCTGGTGAAGTGAAAGGTTACTGGGAACTGTATAAGAGATTTGGTTCGATGCCATGGAAATCATTGGTTGAGCCTGCCATTAAGATTTGTGAAAAAGGTATGATCCTTTCGGGTTATACGCAAAAATGTCTCGAACCACATCATTATAAAGATAAACATTTAAGGTGAGCAATTATCAAGCAGTATATTTTGCGCTGTGAAACGAAGATATTATGAAAGTCTTCATTTAATCATTTCGAATCAAAAGAAAAACATTTTTTCGGGCGAAGAATAAGCCACGTAATCCTGGGGACCTTGTCAAATTTGTACCGGAATTATGCAACACCTACAAAATGATTGCCGAAAAAGGCGGTGACGATTTCTATAATGGCACCTTGGCTGATTTAATTGCTGCTGATTTAAAAGATATTGGTAGCATTATTACGAAAAAAGATCTGCAATCGTACGAGTAAGCAAAAATATACAAAACATAAGTGTATATTGAATTCGAAAAGTGACTTCTTTTGACTCTTTTACTTAACGTTTTGACGCAGACCTCGCTGGGAAGAAACTTTATCGGTGCCGATGATAAAAGGTAATTTAACGGCTCATTTACCTCCATCGGCTGGTGGACCTGTTGTTGGATTGATTTTAAACATTCTTAGGGGATATAATATAAGCAGAGAATTGATCCGAACTGAAAATGAACTTGTTCAAACTTACCATCGTTTCATTGAAGCCTCCAAATTTGGTAATTCACCGTTTTACTTTATTCACTATTTTTATTAATTAGTAACATTTTTTTGAGTTTTTTCTATTTCTAATCGTGTGTCTTGCGTTCAGCATTTGGATATCGAACTCATTTGCACGACTCTGATACTGTTTTGCCAGTAAGTTCGTCTAAAATTAAAAAAATATAAAATTCAGTTCGAAATAATCGAATAAATTTACAGTTAGTTCGAAAAATGCTGACACCGGCTTTCGGTGATGAAATTCGTGCGTTAATCGATGACAATAAGACATGGACCGATCCAAAACACTATGGCGGCGAATTCGTCATAAATGATAAAGGGACCTCCCATACTTCGATTTTAGCAGCAAATGGTGACGCTGTTTCGGTGACATCATCGCTTAATTTTCTGTAAGCATTTTAATACCCTTCTTTCTATATTATTTATCAATAATGTTGTTAGTTTTGGATGTGGAAAAACGGGCAAAAAAACTGGAATCATTTTCAATAATGGAATGAACGATTTTGCAATAAATAATATGGCGAATAGCGCACTGACACAACCATCGGCAAACAACTTCATAGCACCCAAAAAACGTGCTACTTCTTCATTCAGTCCAATAATCGTGACCGATGACAAGGGAGGTGTTCGAATGGTTGTTGGAGGTGCGGGTGGAACAAGAATTATAACGGCAGTTTCGATGGTACCATACAGTTTCGATCATTTAAATTAAATTCAGTTATTTTAAAATGCATTCCTCTTACACACTTGGTGCGTAAGGAAATGTAAAAAAGTCCTCATAAACAATCGTAGGTTATTGGTCGTGTTCTCTGGTTTAATGAAAATCTTAAAGAAGCCATAGACGCTTCACGAATGCATCATCAATTGTTGCCAATGCAAGTGGATTATCAGTATGGCATTCCAGCAGTATGACATTCTCTTTTACTTTTACTTTGAATGCAAATTTTTACACATTTCATTATTTTAGCCCATTATTTCGGGGTTAAAGGCATTGGGACATAAAATGGAACGAAATTGGTGTGGTATATCTAACGTTCGTGCGATAGCAAGAAATGAGAGTGGAATTTTTGCAAATGCTGACTATAGAAAAGAAGGCAAAGCAGTTGGAGAATAGCACAAATTCAAAAAGAGACAACAATGAAAAATAAAAAAATATATATTTTTGTCATTGAAACACATTTTGTTCTCCTTTAAAGTCTGTAGCACTCTATAGAGTTTTCACAAAACTTAAAAGTCATCAATAGTTTCAATGAAAAAGGTCAACCTGCTTACTCCTAAGAGCAAGGACTTGCTTAAGGCATCATAGAATCGTTCACATATTTAAAAAAAAATCTTATGATTTGTGGTGTAATTTTTTTGACGCAAGCGATAATAGTGTTGAGGTTGATTTAAAATTCTGGAATGACGTATTCTTACTAAATATTCGACAAATGTTATGAAAATATTCATTTTCATTATAAAATTTGGGATTGAGTAAACAAAGAGAAGCTAGAAATGGGTGTACTCTGTTTCGTTGTATGTCATTTATATTTGGAACTGTTTTGCAAAACAGTCTTGAACAATAAAATGAGAATAATTACAAATTTGAGCGTCATCGCTTTGACTTTGGTGAGTAAACTAAACTTTTCAATTTGACATTATTTGTTTAAGAGAAATTCAAAGTTTTTTATTTTTGATATTCACATTGAAATGACTTTTGATACAATAATTTTTATTGATGTAAATTCAAGTAATTTAAGGTTTGTTTTGACCACTCAATTGCGGTATCTTAACATTTTTCAGAAGAGCGACAACACGTACAAATAAATTTGACACGATGTTGTCCGGAATGAATCGATTATTATTTGGATGCGGTGACAAGCGGACGTGATCAAAATCACTAATGTTGAACATATCAATCGCTTTTGTTACATTTTCTTGTATTTTTTTTCGCAATTTTTTTTCAAATCATCGTCTTTGAATTTTATTGCGAAGAACAACGCCCATAGACTGTCCTCGATTGTTAGATGTTTTTTTAAGAATTTTGTGCAAACAGGTATGCAATCGGCTACTTCGTACTTATGAACCAGCAACAAAACGTCACCAATGTTTTTCATCGTTAGCATAACACGATCTTTATAAAAGAATTGGAGGAATTCTTGAAATGCTGCCGGAGATTTTTCTTCCATTTGTATCTTTGCTTCGTGTCTTTCGCTAAACATTTTGTTAAATACCGGGCTCGATGCTGATAAGACCGCTTTATTTGCCGCCACTGGAACAACGCCATTTTCAAAATTAAACATAAATTTTATGTCAGCGAGCTTCTCAAGCACGACAGAGTGAAATCTATCGTGCATCGCATCATTCCGGATCGTTTGATTGCTTTTCGGAACGATCGATGTTGACGGTTTAATTCTCTTTTCCATGTTCAATCTGTTAAGAGAATAAAAACAATCACATTTTTATTGAAGAAAAAATAACTCTGTGGTTGAATTCGATGTCATTCACAAAATGTAATTGAATCATTAATCAATTGTGTGAATTTATCAGATTTGTGAGAAAATTGTTTTTATCACACATCATTGTTCCACACTATGAAAGTTACACAGGCTCCAAAAATATTAAAAGCAATCGTTCACTTACAGTTCAGAATAAAATGAAGAACTCTCATTTATACACGTCCGGCAAAGATGAGTTGATCTGTAGATTTTGTAGATGTGTTGTTGCTTCGCTTCACACACACACACATACTTATCCAACCCAGGCTATTTAGCTGTAATATACAAACGAATGTGGAAAGTCATAAGAATTATTGGATTCATTGCATTTGCAATTTGTTCTTTGTAATCATCATCAACTTAAATGTCACCAACAACAAAAAACCTATTGCCATTCGGAGAAACTATACGTTTCACGCTCTAAGCTTAGCGAGCTTGATAATTGATACAATAAGAATTGCGCAGTCTAACCAAAAAAACACTTACCGAAATTACAATTGTAATTTAAATCCGGATATTTTATGAACAGATCTGATTCAATTTACTATTGTCACAGAAGAGATCACGCATGGGAATACAAGTAGATGACATATATATGAGATTGGAGACTTTTTTATGCGAACACCGCTAATCAGCGCCATCATGCATGACATCGGTGAACTCAATTTATATCGGTATCATGAAAAATAATGTGCTTTTATATTTTAAAACCATAGATGATAGAAAATTATTAAAGTTTATCATAGTAAAAAATAAATTAATTTAATTGGTTCTACTTCACACTGTAAACAAACAAAAAAATATAACAAATTGAAATACTTTTTGGAACACACATTAAACAATGCATGTAATAACAATGTGAACGTAACAAAAATATTGTATTGATTATTATTTTAAGCAAGTAATATTTTTCATTTATTTAAATTATTTTTTTTTTCCTTAAAATCGATATGATTTGAATTTTTGAACAATAGTTTTTGTTATATAATTTTTATTTATGATGACTAGTAAGCGTGTGGTTATTTTATTTCTCTCCACAATGTAAAATACGTAGAATGATTATACGTATATGAAATAAGACATTATTCACACTTGTCAAAATAGATTTGACAAGTCACACACGAATGCCGGTTGTTTACATTTTGAAGTCGCTGTAAATAGCGTTGTGAGAAATGGTAAAAATAAAATAAATAAATAATTAATTAAACAGATTTTATTTGCCAAAACTAACATCGAATTTCGATAAACAGATTGGTGACAAGATTGGTGATTTGATTGACATTGATTCCGGTCTTCACTTAAAACCAGAGCCGATCTTAGTCTACGAAAAATATGAAAGTGTTTGGAAGAAGCTTAAAATATCGGAAATCCCATAGACTTTTACATTGGCGCAGAAACCAATTAAATTTTGGATGGCGGCGAAATTATGGTTAAACTCAGTAACGCGAATAAAGCACAAATACGTTTGGTACAATGAAAAAGGAATAGAGCGCAATAAAGGACTTGATGCAAAAGAGTATACAACTAATTTGATATTTTTCCAACAGATGGTGACACTGACAAATGTCACTTTTAATAACTTAACAAATAACTAATATTTAGTATTTAATAAAATTTATTATATAATTGTAAAACCAAAAAGATTAACATAAAAAAAGTTCCCACTTAAAACATTAAAACAATACTTAAAGTAATTTGATTGAATTCATTTTATTAGTTATCATGGGCATGTGCAAAATAGAATTGTCAATTCAACACAAACAATACATATGAACGCTCTAGAATAAAAACAACGTACTGAATGGTTGTCATATCAAAGCGGAACACAGCGTTTTTTTTATATAGAATTGTTGTTGTATTACAATAACAAATCTATGTTAAAAAAACGCCCTGTTCCGCTTTGATATAACAACCATTCTGTACGTTGTTTTTATTCTAGAGCGTTCATTAAACATGTAATTTTGTTTATGCAGAAAACAATAAATATGTGTATTTAAGTGCAGATTTTTATAATTTAGTGTTATTTTATGATAAAAAATCGATGTTTAGAATTTCAGACATAAAGCTGACAAAAAAGTTAATAGTTTCTTTTACATAATTCATTCATGCAGATTTTGTAAACAATGCGGAATTTCATGCAGAAATTTTAATCGAAGAATCTTTGAGCAAAAACAAAATATATTCCGGAAAATCAAACATGCAGCTCGCTTTATTAATTGATGTGTTTTCTATCCGCGAATAATAGTGCAGATTTAGCGAAGTGGGTGGCTGAAGTAATAAACGTAAAATTATTTGTTTAGTGTATGTCTAGCTGCATGGTTCAATATAGTTTTCTGACATAAAGCAAAAAAAAAAGTTACTTGTTAGAGTGGCTCTTGGTCTATACCCCCTGATTGAAAACCATTGTTTTACTTGAAAGGACATCATCTGACTTTCAACTCACTTCTATTCTTCAGAGAAACAATTAATTGGCAGAAATGCCTATTTTCTCAGTGACGTTAAGCACTTCCCTTTGTATAGTTGTTTTAAAAATACATACCAAACAGCTAACTTTCATGACGTAGTCTCTGTATTTAATGAACTTGATGAATGTAAATTGTTTTCTTTCAAGGGAAACATAAAATGAACAAAAACTGCTATAAAATCAATCATTGTTTTTGGTTCATTTATTGATGATAACCAAGTAATATTTGGAAATGAAAATGTCGACTGTTAACGATACATCTCGAAAAATGATGTTTTACAAATTAAAATTAAGTTCCATTGTTTATCAAAATCGCTTACTCAAAATCAACTTTCCATAACACAATTTGAATGTTGAATTTACATTAAACTGTGCCATTGTAGATTCTAAGTTAGATTTTTCCAACTTTTTTAAAACACAATATGTTCTATGCATAAAATCAGTGGAATTCATATGCCATTCAAATCATTTTGTCAAATTGTGAACCTTTCTTATAAAAATGTGAAAAAATGCGATTGTTCAATGGTCGAGGAGGTCCAATTTCTTCAAACCTTCTTTTATATTTCAAAAATAAGGCAATCGGTTTCAAATTCAAACTGAAATTATTACAAAAGTCAAACCCATACAGTAGCGCACTCTGCCTGACATTCCTGTTAATGTGAGCATCGAATCATATTTTCTTGTGCTAACGTGACTAACGTCTCATTCTAAAGAAAATTGTCTCACTCAACAAATCGAATATTTTCTTTCTTTAAAATATTTCTGTGCAAATTTATTGAATTGTTTTGTGCTGTTGTTCAATCTTTGAATTGCTAATCTATTGAATTCGAATCTTTTTATGAATTTGGTGTTGCAAGGATAAATTGGATGAAGGTAAGAACTTTTTATTCCGTAAAATATGCACTTTTTATTCCAAAAAAATATTTTTTAGTAATTGACAATTTCCAATTGTTTCACAATCAATAAAAAGAACATAAATAAAACATTTTCATGCCAAACATTTATATGATTGAAGACATTTGGTTGGTAATTTTCAGACGATCCTTCTTCGATTAACAAGAATTTCACAATAAGCCGTTTCCAACCTCAACTCGACAGTATTATATAGTTAAGACTTCTCATTTTGAAAGGTATGTGCTGTCTGATTCGGAATTGAAAATAAAAAAGTAACAAAAATTAATTTCAATCAATATACCTTAGTTTAGCTAAACAAAACGATGTCTGTCAGTGGATTCAAAAGTGATTTCTCCGCAGCTGGTGAATGGTTATACTTGAATGCTGAAACGTCCGATGTTCATTTCATCATCAAGTCATCCGATGACGATTGTGAACGTATACCGGCGCACAAAAATCTTTTAGCTGGCGCAAGCAAAGTGTTTCGTGCAATGTTTTATGGATCAACGAAGGAAAAAGGTGACGTCACTATCATCGATGCATCAACTGATGCCTTTAAAGAGTTTTTAAAATTATTCTACTTCAATGAAGTCAACGTAAACGAGGAATATGTTTTGGACGTAATGCAATTGGCTCACAAGTACGACGTTCCAAACTGTTTGAACACTTGCGAACAAATTGCGTTACGCAATCTAACCAATGACGATGTTTGTTTGGTTTATGGACTTGCCGTCTTCTACAATTTGAAGGAATCAAAGTCATTGTGCGAAGCAGTTATTGGTCTGAATGCAAAAGAAGTCTTGAAAACCGACGGATTCATGGAATGCAATAAAAATACGTTGAGCAACATTTTGAAATTGGATTCGTTATCTTGTTCAGAAACCCAAGTTTTTGATGCTTGTATGGAGTGGGTCAAGGCGATCTGCAAGGAAAAGACATTGACAAAGGAACTGATTCAAAAGCATCTCGGCAATGCATTTTACGACATTCGTTTCCGTTCAATTACAATGGACGAATTGGCTGCCATTTTCAAGACATATGCGCTCACAACCGTATTCACTGGTGATGAACACAAGGAAGTCGTTCAAATGATCGTATCGAAGGAATACAAGCCAACGATGTTCAACAATACTTGTCGGTACAGCTATAATGGGCATGGTGATGTAATCATATGTTCATCGAAAGTCAAGTCATCTGCGATTTCACCTTACATCATTAAGGAATCAGGTGAATCAACATCATTTTCAGTCAACGAGCCGCTGCTATTTGAAGGAATCAAATTCATTCAAATCGATGATCTCTACGAATATAGAAGAAATCCAATGGTACAGTCGCTATGGATATTGACGATCGTTGAAAGTCGTGAAGAAAAGGAGGATCGTATTCTTTATGAGGACGATATAGAAATCTTTGGTGGCCCTAAATACGTTTCGTTGTCCAGACCAGTCATCATCAAAAAAGGATTTATTCACGCAATTCAGTTGCATTTGACAGAAGCTGAATTTTCCGAAGAAATGTGTACTGATAAAACGTATTTTCCTTCGTCAATGACGCTTCGATCTGGTCACGTCATAAAATTCCACCATGGCAACTTGAAATTCGGTTCGGTCAGCACAGTTATCGGCAAATTGAATTTTAGACAAATTTAAAGGTTTTTCTGAAAAAGACAATCAAACCGAACCATCATTTTATTTGATAACGATAAAAATATCAATCATTAAAAACCGATTTTTCTTATTTCCCAAGTTTCATTAAATCATTTTGATTATGGACAAAAAATTTACATACAAAATCGAAAATGTCACTTTTAACCAACCGGCTAAGCCTATGAAGAGACAAAATGCGAATTCCCTTCATCTGTGCCATCTTGTATTCCATAGTTGAACTCAATTTAGTTACAATGAATTGAATCGAAAAAGAGAAAAAAAAAAACAACAACAGTAACATGGCTACATAGATCTGTTGACCAGTGAGATACGTATAACAATGGAATGAAAGAATGAAGAAAGCGTATATGTGTATGTATGCATCAGCACGCATAGATGTACAGCTCTGTGTGGCCGTGCTATTGTTGTTGTTTTTTCACTTTTTCATTTCAATGCTACAGAATTAAATTCAGTTTTTCGATCTAATTCGAACTAATGTGAGGTGGCGCTGATCAGCTGCGTTCGCATAAAAAAGTTCCCAATCTCATATACGTCAACCC